AGAGGTTTAACTCTGAGATTCTGTGTGCTGCCTTTTGGGGTAGGTGTCTTGCTGCTACTCTGACTCTTTCATTTTTATTCTGAAAGGTGGGTTAGTCTTTTAGAGAAGTACTACCTTGAGTAATTGGGGGATTTTGTGAAGGGTTGGTGACAGACAGGATGGGAGACTTCTGTGATGCCCACCCTCATGCCTCTTGCTGTCGGCTCAGTGGTGCATGAATAGAGTGGTGTGGTACGTGTGTGTGCTTGCACCTGTCTCTGTAGTCAGATGTTGGAGGAGGAGAGTAAAAAGATGGGGCAGGGAGTTGGTCCATACTTATAGGGAGAATGAAGAAGTTCACTGAGATGCTTTTCTTTAAATGTTTCCATTCCACTTTTTCTTGTCTTTTGTGACTTTGGCATAACGTCTAAATTAAAAGCTATCTGCAGTTGACCAAAGAATCTGCAGAAAGGGACAGTTGAGCTGACTTTACCTGTTGAAGACCTGTGGTGTTCGTGTAGCATCTTCTAAACTGAAGACACCATGGGAGGGTGTTGATGGACTTCTGCCTTCTTGGATCCTGAAGCTTGCCTTTCTGTCTTCCCTGCCCTTTGCCTTACTCGCTCCCAGACAGACCTTGCTCCTTTCTTTGTATATTTTGGATACAAAGCTTTTATCAGATATATGTTTTGCAAATATATTCTCCCAGTCTGTGGCTTATCTGTTTATTTTCTTTAACAGTGAGTGTCTCTTGCAGAACAGAAGTTTAAAATTTTAACGAAGTCCAACTTACCAGTTTTTTATTTCATGGATTGTGCTTTTGTTGTTGTATCTAAAATGTCATTGCCAAATCTGAGGTCGCATACATTTTCTCCTGTGTTGTATTCCAGAAGCTTTATAGATTTGCATTCCACATGTAGGTCTACAGTCTGTTTGAGCTGATTTTTGTGAAAGTTTAGAAGTCTGTGTATAAATTCATTTTCTTTTGCATGTGGATATCTAGTTGTTATAGCAGCATTTGTTGAAAAGATTGTCCTTTCTCCATTGAATTGCCTTTGCTCCCTTGTCAAAGATTATTTCACTGCATTTGTGTGGGTCTCTCTGTTTTGATACATTGATCTGTTTTGTCTGTTCTTTTGCTAATAACCTCACTGCTCGATTACCATAGATGTATAGTGAATCTTGAAGTCAGGTCCTATCAGTCTTCCAGCTTTGTTTTTCTTTTTCAATATTGTATTAACTATGTTGAGTCTTTGGCCTCTTCACATAAACTTTAGTGTAGTTTATTGATATGAAACAAAATAACTTGCTGCAATTTTGATTGGAAGTGCATTGATCACATTGGAAAGAAATGATAATGTTGAGTCTTCCTCTCTGCAAACATGGAATATCTTTCTGTTTATTTTATTCTTTGTTTTCTTTCATCAGAGTTTTGTAGTTTTCAAGTAGATCTTGAAAGCGCTCTTTTGTTAAACTTATCCCGATTTTGGCTTTTTTTAGTTCTAATGTAAATAGCATTGTGTTTTTAATTTCAAATTCTAACTATTTGTTGCTGGTATATAGGGAAGGGATTGACTTTTATATATTAGTCTTGTGTTCTGCAGTCTCATTATAATTGCTTATTTGTTCCAGGAGTTTTATTGCTCATTCTTTGAGATTTTCTGCCAAGACAATCATGTCTTCTGCTAACAAAGATAGTTTTATTTTTTTCCTCTCAGTCCTTCTACCTTTTATTTATTTGTTTATTTTCTTGTCTTATGCATTAGCTTAGGAGACCCAGTTTGATCTTTCATAGGAGTTATGAGAAGGGACATCTTTCCCTTATTTCCAATCTTAGGGGGAAATCATTTAGTTTCTCACCATTAGGTATGGTGTGTTAGCTAGCTGTAAGTTTTTTGTAGATGTTCTTTATCAAATTGGGGCAATTCCTCTCTATTACTGTTTTCCTGGGAGTTTTTATCATGACTGGGAGTTGGGTTTTGTCAGACGCTTTTTCTGCATCTGTTGATAGGGTCATAGGATTTTTCTTCTCTGTCTTGTTGACGTGAGTGTCTGGCTGCTTTTGCTTAGTATCATTTTGTTGTTGCTTGTAGCCATAGTTTGCTCTTCATTCCTATTAATGAGGACAGCACAATTATTCATGCATTCTACTGTTGACGTGGACATTTATGTTGTTTCCCTTTGGGGCTGTTATGAATAATGCTGCTGTGAACATTCCTGTTCATGGATTTGGGGGCTCATACACATTCATTTGTATTAGGAGAGAAATTGCAGGATCATATGTAGGGCACGCACATGTCCTACTTTAATAGATAATGCCAAACTTTTAAAAATGTTCTAACAGTTTATAACACTAGCTTGTGAAGTTTCTAGTTGCTCCACATCTTGCCTACCTTTGATATTGTCCGTATTCTAGGTATTCTGACAGGTGCATGAAATTGTATCTCTTTATGGTTTTAGTGTGCATTCACTGTTCACTGTGGAAAGCAAGCACCTTTTTAAATGTATCTGTGAGATCACTTCTTTTGTGAAGTGCCTGTTCCAGTGACTTGCCTCTTTTTCTATTGGATTATCTCTGTATTTGATTTATAGGCATTATTTCATATTCTAGATGTGAATCCTTCGTCACCTTTTTAAGTGCCACACATCTCCAGTGTGTGACTGGCCTTTCTCTAGATTCCTGCATTGGGTGATTAATGT